GACGGGCTTTAGATAGAATTAATATATAACCCCATAAATCAAGCTGTACCCACATTTCCTACCAACACAAGAAAGACATGCTTGCAAAGTTGCTGAAGTCTCATATTTATGCAGACACCCATAATATATCCACTTACACACATCATACACACTCCCGAAGAACTAAAGCATAACATACACTTAACGCAGACACCATACCCTTCAAAGGAACCAATAAAACTGTCAAAATAGCCAAGGGAATTCAGTGTAGCATAAATCTATCTCGCCTCTGATTTAAAAAAGCAACTTAAAAGAGGCCGTTAGACCAACACAAGGGCTGACCAAAATTAACGATAAAAAAACAAATGAAAAGTACGGATAAAGATCATTTTCTTCAGAAAGTCATTCATTCCTGTAGTTCACTGCTACTAAGAAGCAGAATTTTTTTCTCTCCTGAAGATGGCCATGATGACTGAAACTAGTCGGGGAATTTAATTGAAATAATAAAACAAAAAATATTAATATACAACCCACTGTCTGAAATTTTAATTTTTTAATTTATCAATATTTTTATTGTTCAAAAAACACACACACACACACACACACACACACACACACACACACACACACACACATATATATATATATATATATATATATATATATATATATATATATATATGTCCTCAGTATGACGATAAACTACATCCCGCAGCAAGTGGAGGAAGTTTTGAGGAGCGTGGAACTACAATTGCTGTTGTTCCCAGGTGCGCCCTGTTCCGGGGTGGTAGCACTTGTCAGGGTCCCAGCTATGGTTAAATAGTGTCTACCAGGGCTGAACAAGCTCTTTAGTGTTAAAGAACACGACTGGTCTAGGAGATGGAAAACTCTTACACGGAAAGCCTGAGGTCTATTTTCTGCTTCGTTTGTGGCATTTATTTGCAGCGACTGAGTGTATCAATAGTTCCGTTAGGTGTGGATGGTTCTGCACAAGCATTCACTACTTTATTCAAATCACTTGTGTGGGTTTTCTGGCGCGTTACCTTGATTCGTTCATTCTATCTGCTTGTGTAAATCGTCTTCAAGAAGCGAGAGTAAGATCTAAAAGACCAGACAATCTAACAGTGATCTCATCTCACAATCCTCACTCTTCCTCCATATGTGGCCCCCTTTGTAAATCACTAGCGGGTCTTAAGTGCCACTTATGATTATCGCACGAAATTTCATAACTAAATCAATTAAGCTGTCAAATCATCATACGTCGTCGAAACCGACGGGAGAGTCCATTATATATATATATATATATATATATATATATATATATATATATAGAGAGAGAGGGGGAGAGGGAGAGAGAGTCTATTACACACACACACACACACACACACACACACACACACACACACACACACACATATATATATATATATATATATATATATATATATATATGTTGTAGGAATCGAAGAGAGCCGAGTTCGAATTCCAGTCGAATCCATTGCATTCACTTACGTGCTAATACCCTTGAGAAAGGTGCGAATCCTCTTCTTCTCCAACCTGCTATGGGTAAATAGCAGGACAGACTGGGTTTTATAGCCTTGGATGGCAATTGGTCTGGGAGAAAGACAATTCTAAATTCAAAACCTGCGGAGGGTCTTTTGGGGACCCTGTGGCACGTAGTGCACCAGGTCTCTGTATTCGGCCCTTTAAAAAGTGTGGCTGGTCCTGCACGAAACCTTCACCACTATAATCAAATCTCATGTGCTGTTGTCAGTCTGTCGGTTTCCTAGAACTGATCTACTTGACCCTCATACGTTTCGACGGGAGAGTCGAATATATATATATATATATATATATATATATATATATATATATATATATATATATATATAAAGAGAGAGAGGAGAGGGAGGGAGAGAGAGGATAAAATCTTCCCTCACTCGCAATCCTACAGATCTTGGTTGATTATATTGTTGTTGCTTTATAAGTATTTTATGATATTTGGAACTGATTGAAGGTTTTATTTTGCATTATTATGCTTGACTTGTTTCAATAAAAGGTAGATAACTGAAGTCTCTTGTTTTATAAGCGCTAGGACTCATTTCTCTCAATCGATATACGTTTATTTCCTGCCATCTATGTCTTTATATTTATTTAAATATGTATTTTTTCATAATTAGCTTGAGTCGATAAAATCCATGAATTCTATGTGAATGGAGCTTCATTAGATGAAATTCCTATCAAGCAAAAAGCAATTGAAAGCTGAGAATTATTGATTGGTAGACATCGGTCTGCCTTCACGATTGCACTATATATATTTTTTAAAAAAAGATATGGCAACACAATAATAATAATATCCCAACTATAATCTATCGATACAGGTAAGAACGAAAACAGATAATGGATTAGTGAAATTCATTTTCCTGAAAAAGATTTTATAAATTACAACCAAGAGGAGTAATGGCTATTCGGTCAACGTACGTTGAATATTTCCTTATAAGGAAACGGCTAATATTAGAGTTACCATTGAACGAAACTGCTGTCATTTACTCACCATAGAAAACGACCCTTCCTTCTATCAGCATGGTTAATGCTCAACTCCATGACAGAGCCTGATGTTCCCAGGTCCACCTTGACCCGGGGTGGTAGCACCTGTTAGGGTCCCAGGTATGGGTAAATAGTTGACACCCAAACAGGGGTCAAAACACTATGAAAGTGTAAAAATATTTTTTATACATACCAGAAATACTTTGTAAAAAAAAAAATTATTACCAACAATACATTTTTAGAAAAAAAAAGTTATTACCAACTATAGTTTATTTTGAAAGAAAATATTGCAGCAATAAAAAAATGTCGGCATTAAATAACTGATTGAGTTTGATATGCCGTAAAACAAACCGAAGCAACCACGATAGAGCCTCACTGTGCATTCTTGGTCTCACGCTTTCCACTGACCTGGGGTGGAACAACTTCATTGAATCAATAGCTTCATCTACCGCAAGGAAAGTTGGTTCTCTGTGTTGCGCCAGAAAGTTTTTCTCGCCTGAGTCTATCCTTCACATCTACAAATGTACCATTTGTTCTTGCATTGCATACTGTTGCCATATATGGTCTGGTGCTCCCTCCTTACATCTCGATATTCTTGACAAAAGCCAAAAAAGGGTATATAATATGATCGGTCCTAACTTCGGGTCTCAACTCCAGTCACTTTCTCACCGACGTAATGTTTCCTCCATCTGTCTTTTTTTTATAAATATTTTCATGACGTCTGCTCTGTGTTCACTGGTGCCCCGACTGCATGAATTTTAGCGTGCTACTAGGCTGGCATCTCAGTCACAGTAAAATGCAACCGTCACTTCTACCCCAACAGTTTCTCTCGCACTTCCCGACAGTGGAACTCTCACTTTTTTTCTTTTTTTTTTTTTCTTCCCTGATAGCTATAATCTTCAAAAATTTAAATGTAATGTCAATCGATATCTTCTGATGTCTTGATTCCCGTTCTTTTTATTCTCCTCTGTCAATTTATCGGGTACATATAGACAGATCCTGAAGAAAGCCTCTGCGTAAAACGGTCGAAACATCGTAAATATAGCAATAAAGATGAGGACAACAGTCCTAACAATGCAAATAGTGTAAATAGTTAAAACACCTCATGTCAGAAACATAGACAGATTCTGAAGTTGGATAGAGCGTACACCGGTCGAAACGTCGTGAATAGCAGTCCGAATAATTACAATACCTCATCTCAGAAATATAGAAAATCCTGAAAAAGGCCGGAGCATACAACTGTCTTAACGACGTGAATATGAAAATAAAGATGAAGACAACAGTTCGAACAATATAAATAGTGTAAACATTTACAATAGCAGATCTCAGAAATATAGAAAAATCCCTAAGAAGGCCGGAGCGTACAACGGCTGAAAAGTAGTGAATATGACAATAAAGATGAAGACAACAGCCCGAACAATGTAAATAGCGTAAATAGTTAAGATATCTCATGTCAGAAATATAGACAGATCTTGAAGAAGACCGAAGCGTACAACGGCCGAAACATCGTAAATATAGCAATAAAGCTGAGGACAGAAGTCCGAATATTGTATACAATGTAAATAGATATAATGCCTCATGTCAGAAAAATAGAGAGATCCTGAAGAAGGCCAGTGCATAAAACGGTCGAAACGTCGTGAATGTGACAGCAGTCCGAACAATGTAAGTAGTATAAATAATTGCAATACCTCATCTTAGAAATATATAAAGATCCGGAAGAAGGCCAGAGCGTACAACGGCCGAAACGTTGTGAATATGACAACAAAGGACAACAGTCCAAACAATGTAAATAGTGTAAATAGTTACAATACCTCATCTCAGAAATATATATATATATAGATATTTTAGTTATATCTGGATTTTGGCGCACTGTCGACATGGAAAAAAAAAATTCGTCCGTAGTTAAAATATTTGATGTCTGGTGTTCCTGCTATTTATCTAAAGATTCTTGATAATAATAATATTAATAATAATAATAATAATAAAGTGTACATATGAACAGTTGTTTACACTATTTACATTGTTCGAACTGTTGTCTCCATCTATATTGTCATATTCACGACATTACGGCCGTTGTACGCTCCGGCCTTCTTTCGGATCTGTCTCTATTTCTGAGATGTACCATTGCACCTATTTACACTATTTACATTGTTCGGACTGATGTCTCCATCTTTATTCCCATATTCATGACTTTTCGGCCGTTATACACCCCAGCCTTCTTCAGGATCTGTCTATATTTCTGAGATGTGGTATTATAAATATTTACACTATTTACATCATTCGGACTGTTCTCCGCATTTTTATTGTCATATTCACGACGTATCGATCGTTGTACACTCTGGTCTTATCATATATAGAACAATCGTTGCGCGAAGCATTCTTTGTCTCTGATATTTCCAAACACAGGTTGATGTGCATTAAAATGATTTTTGTAAAATTCTCCTCGCTGATAGGATTTGAAGATCTGGAACCGG